CTCAGATAGACAGCCTTTTATATATTTAAGTTTTGCTTTGTCTTACATTCCCCACAGTACTATCTATAGTTTTTAAAATGAAAAGTTGTTCTTTTTAGGTCATATGGACATGACGTTTCTACTCAAGCACCATTTACACAGTGTCAACTCTGTTTTAGAAAATGAGCCTCTTGACATTCCCACACACTGATGTCCATCTGACACTTCACAGCTTTCCAAAACTTTGTGAAATCACCTTGTGAGATAGACCTTCATTGCATCTATGCTTCTGAGAGCCTACAGATTTAGGGATCATTCTGAGTCATCAGACAGCATTACTAAAACCAACAACCTACTTTCCTCCTTTGATACCTTCTCCACATGCAGAGGCTTTGTGTCAGCGCTAGCGACTTTCATAATTCTGTGCTCATTTTGATTGATCACTTCCACACTAGGGAACAACTCTGTAGTCTTGTGTGAGACTATGTATCAATAATACATTTGATACACATTAGTAAATAGTTTATTTACTCCCAGTTCAAAAATCCAAAAATAATCATAGCTAATATCCAAAGTGTGGATTCATAATTTGCAGTAGCTACAAATTTTCAGACACACCTTGATAAAAGAATGTTGCTTTCAACTTGGAATTTTATACAGTTCAAAAGTAAAATCTTAAAATTGTCTCCAAGTTTTATTGTTGTTTACTCATGTTTTTATCTTGTTGAGTTCCTAGAAATGATTGTTTGGAATAGAAGCAGGCAGATTGTAGTTTCGAGATTCACTTGTGAATGGGCTACAAAGAAGAGCTTAAACATATCCAAGACCATGGTATCTTGTACACAGGAATCTATTCTCTGTTCCACTAATCAAGCTCTGAGGAGATAATATCACATACAGTGAGAAACCCACAAAATATCATGACAGATAAGGGGATTTGTGCTCTAAGGGAACAAAAGTAAATGACCAGTGAAATCAAGGCACTAATATTATTGAGCATATGAATATAAACCATCAGTTACTGCAGCCTTAAAAAATGGCTGAGGAGGAACTAGTGTTTTCCTTCCATGTGTGTGTGTGCGTGCGTGCGTGCGTGTGTGTGTGTGTGTGTGTGTGTGTGTGTGTGTGTGTGTTGCATGCTTTGCGTGTGTCTGTCTGAAGGCATGAATACAAGATGAGGGTATTGTCATTTCCTATCAATATCTAACTTATGTACTTGACATAAATTCTCTGACTGAACCTGGAGCTGATCTGGCAGCTCAAAAGCTCAAGTGATCCCCTGTCCTGATCACCCATGTTCAACAGAGACAAATGCATGTGTCTCTGCTGGGCTTTTTATGTGGATGCCGAGGATTCAAAGTCAGGCTGTTGTGTGTGGGGAGCAAGCACTCTACTTGACTAAGCCATCTTCCAAGTCACTGAATGTTTTACTTTTTATTTTTAAATACAACTATGAGTGAGTCTTCACCTAATGTGAACACATTAGGGGGAACGCATGAAAGCAGCAAAAATCTTTAAAACACAGGTCAATATTGAATTACATAAGTGTGAAATGTAATTTACTACACAGGTAACAAAACTTTTTAGAGTTCCTCAAAGAACCAAACCTAACCATTGTTACATGTTTTTATTCTAAAGCCTATATGAAAAACAAAACACTCCTCCTGGATCTATAAAAGAGGACAAGGAGAGTCCCTCTGTTAAGGTAAAATGATCCATTTTGAAATTCACAGTTTATATGGAAACTTGGTCAGAAAAAAAAACCATTTTGTAGGTATGAACGGTCCTTTCTATAAATTCCAAGTGAGCAGTAGGTCCTTGCAGGTAGTAGTGGCCCAATAAGGAATAGACTGGAAACATAGTGAGTAGAAGATTGAGTGCAGTCCTCACATAGGAGATGTTTGGTTTGCAGAAACAAATACATATTAGAGTAACTTTAAAACATGACTGTGGTTATAAACCTGGATACATTTTAATGGGTCCAGTTATTTCAGTGATTCTGGAGTTCACCAGGGTGGATTTCTTTACCTTCCACATAAATTCAGGAAGTTTATCTTCCCTTGGACACTCCCCTTTCTGAATTACACATGACAGCATCACTCCAGTATCTGTCTTGGCTTCTGAATTGACACTAACAGGAAATTTTGGAAATTTGGCCATTTGTAACACATTCACCAAAATTTTCATTATGTAGTGATTACAGACTATTTTCTATTTGAATCCACTAGGACTACATAGAAATACTTTCCTTTAGTTACACAGTATCTTTTCCCCAAATAGCCCAAATGAAGATAAAAATACTGTTCAGTAACACTTTAACATCTGGATATTGTTCTTTATTTTAAATAATATAATAAGTGTATATTATAGTGTCACATTCAAACACTTAAAATATTGGAGTGTGTAATTCGTCATGTGTGTACTCACATGAAAGTGATTACATTGCTGTGATCTCCTTGGAGTTTAGGATAACTGCTTATAATCTAGAGTTCTACAATAATGGTTTGTGTGAATCATTGCTTGGATATTAACGACTTGAATGTGAATCAGTATTCAAATAAGTTTCTACCACACTAATAATTAAATGAGAGTCTGTTTGTAAATGAAAAATAATATGCATTTTGCCTCCCAACCATATAAGAGAGACACTGATGAGAGGAAATAATTCAAATTAATAATCTTCTCGTATGAGTTTCAGAAAATTCAAAAATAGAAGATTCAATTTATTCTGAGCCACAGGGCAAGGCCAAATTTCTCAGCTCATGGTTTTCTCTTAATCTAGTTGGCATGAATATTTTTACTTTTAGATGATACCATAGTAATTTTTAAATTGATAAGCTTAGAAGATATTTCACTTTTAAGTAATAGTTTCTACTCTTCATGTTTCAATCCTCTGTGACTGCTAAGGACTGAAGGAATTTTGAAATTGTGCACATAAAAGTTAATTTCAGAATCAAATCAGGAAAGTCAACCCTTTACATTTCCATTGCAGAAAACACTGAAACAAACTTCACCTCTTGACAAGATGGACAGAATAAAGGAGAAGGGCCAGCCCACTTGGAAATCTGAAGTGAACATGGGTACTAAACGAGAAACAATACCTGAGAGGCCTGAAAAGAAAACATCCCTAATGGTAATTCCTTCTCATTTGAAAAGTAATATTTGCTTATGAGGGGAATAATGTCTCTCTGTTCCCATGCCGGCAGCATTGCAAATAGTGTCAGAGAAGAGAAGAGCCTGGAACACGTCCTTCACTTCCTTCGTACCCTCACTCCTGGGAACACTCATGCTAATATTATGGAAATGTTCCCCTGTTTTGGGCATAATTCACTGCATAACACACCTTCCACTCTGGAAATGAGTCAGTCCTTTGTCAGGCTTTGTTCATGTCACTCATTCTGTAATTACATGATGGCTATGTAACTTTCATTGAAGTAGTAATCCACCATGCCCAAGAAACTCCTAAAAGGAAGGATTCTTTTGGAGTGGGGTTATGGTTCCAATGAGATACATACAGTTTCATCACTAGCATGGTTCAGGCAGGCAGGCGTTTTCCTGGAGCAGCAGCCTAGATCTACCACTGATGCACACAAGAAACAAGAGAGCTCGCTGAAAACGGCATCAGGCTCTGAAACAACAAGGCCCACCTCCAGTGACACAACTTCATCAATGAGGCCATAAATCCTAATTCTCCTCCAAATAGTTCCACCAACAAAAACTAAGCACTCAAGCACATAAGCCCATAGGGGCAGTTCTAAGGGGTACGGTTTTTCCTCCCGCTGCTGGTCTTGTCCCACCGCCAGCCCCAATTAACACACAGAGACTCTGTATTTTATATTATGCTGTTGACCAGTTACTTGTTTCTTATAGGCTAGCTCCGTCTTAAATATTAACCCATTTCTATGTATTTCCCCATGGTCTTACCAGCGAGAGGCGGCTGGCGGTTCTATTCTTCCAGACTCTCCATCTAGACTCTCCTTACTGCTTCCTCTTTCCTCCTTGTCTCCTAATCCCTCCTATCTTGCTTTCCTATTGGCCAACAATGCTTTATTCATTAACCAGTATGAGAAACATTTTTACAGAATGACATCTCCCATCAGGCAGTTCTCAATCAAGCCACCACAGGGAAGATCAGGGCATTATAACCAACCTCCATGTCTAACAACAGTCATGGTTAAGGAGTGAGACCTTGGGAGGCATTTCCCAGAATCCTTATTTCATCTCCTCTGTTCACCTCTGCTGTGTGTAACGGCACACTGTATTCATGCATTTCAAAGGTCACTTCATGGCTCTGTTATCTCAGGAACCTAATGAACAATTGTGAAAGGCTGTGCAGATGAGAGAGGTTCCTTTTATTCCAAAACCCCCTCATTTTCACATTCTCTCAATACTGAGAAGTGTAAAATCCTGGTCGTAGAGACAAGAGAGGACACGTTTTGTCTTTTCCTTTTTACATCTTCACATTATAGAAATTGGCAAAGTCAGATAGGAAAAGCAGAAGAAAAGAAGACATAAAAATGAGCAGGTCTCTTTTTAAGACTTCTCAACACTCTGGGACTTTTCATCAAACATAAAGGAAGCAGAGGTTACAGGTTATCAGTGGCTGTTATAAAGTATGACTGAGCAAACAAACATTTGGGGACTGTAAATCAGAACACCAATGTGATATCTTACTTGGACAAACAAAGCCTGTCTGAAAGCCAGACAGTGGAGCTTGAGACTACCTAACCATAGATGTGTGGAGGTCTGTTTAGACAGCCAGGAAGTGAGGCAGTGGGCAGAAACATGAGAGAGCAGGGAGAAACAAGAACTTGTTCTCTTGTCTGCTGAGATGTGAAGGAGGTACGGTGTGGTGGTGGCTTCTTCTCTATCTCTCAGCATTTCCCTCTGAATCTGACTCTAGTTATTATTTAGACGAATCAAGAACTCCATTTATACCCCATCATTAACCGATAAGTTTTAAAATGGATAAAAACAATGAAATTTGTAATGAAAACTAACATCTTAAAATCTCCTTAAAGGTTGAAAAGAAGAAGGCAGAACATTTTCCAAAAATTGCTGATGATCATGATATTGCTGTGCCCCAGCCTACTGCCCACATCGTGCCAACATCTTCTTCCGGCACTGGTGATAGTGTTGAAATTGTGGCACCTAAAAAACAGGACTTGGGCGCAGCTTGTGACACTGCCCGTGTTCTCCAGCTTCCTTTAGGTACTTATACTGGGCTTTCAAGGGGAAGACCACATACTGCCCCTGAAATCACTCCTGGTAATCAAATTAATGACATCATGAACCCTTTTCAAAGGGCTGACCAGTTCTTAAAGCTTGTCTTAGAGTGGAGTACAAGGGTTAGATTCTCCTACTGATGAGGAATCATCTGCTCATGTTCATGTCCCAGGTGATGCTCTGGATGCTATACAGGATGCTGACATAATTTTGGATGCTGAAAATCTAGCTGACTACACCCACTATACAAGTAATACCCACACGAAGTCTGGTACTCTTCTGTTAACAAGCATGTCACTGCTCCTCATAACATCCTTGATGTGGTTTCTGAAATTCTTCTTCTCAATTCTGATGTGGATATTACAATAAACGAAGATTTCCAAGGAGGCCCCAGTAATGAAAAAGCTGAACAAGGTCAGTTGGACCCAACAGTGGTTTAGAATAGATGAAGATATTTGTACTAGAAATCTCATTCACTTTGCCACTCGATGTGTGGCAAATACTCCTTATATAGGAGTATTTAGGCATTACCTAGAAACAGACAATAAAATGCTTTATTTTTCTGGTCATATTGAAATACATCACATGAAAATAACAAGTCAATTTATTTCAAGGAAACTGACCAAGTAAAGTTGGTAGGTCCACCGTTGTGTCCTATTCTGTTATGAGTTGCTAAGCAGAGAAATATGACTGTTAAGATTAGTTTCTTTTTTTCTCTATTCATATACTGTGACTTATGTGGATATCATCAACTTGGAAACAAACCCTTCCAAAGCAGTAACATCCCAAAATAACACAAACAGGACTCTATATTCTCATACTTTTGCTAACACAAGGATATTGATGACACTTCATAATAATCTACTGATGCTGACACTGCTATTGCTGATGCTTACAATGTTATCAATAATATTATCAATGATACTACTCATAACTCTTGCTTTCCTTTTCAGTTGCAGCTGAAGATGATTAGTTCTTTAAAAGAAGTACTTAACTGGACCAACTCAACTCAACTGACACAACTGTCAAGAAGATTTTATTCAATTTATAAATTTAAAGTTAAATATTTATCTAAAAGATGACACAGTATATATTGAATTCTGTACATAAGTTTGTGATATGTTCCTATTAAAGTGTGCTATGTATTATTTTAAGCTGTCTCTTGCTATTGTACAAACTGACAACATGACCTTAACTGGACCAGCTCAACTCAACTGACAAAACTGTCAAGAAGATTTTATTCAATTTATAAATTTAAAGTTAAATATTTATCTAAAAGATGACACAGTATTCTGTACATAAGTTTGTAATGTGTTCCCATTAAAGTGTGCTATGTATAATTTAAACTGTTTCTTGCTATTGTACAAACTGACAACATGACCTCTTAGTGATATGTTGAAGAGGAAGTACTTTAGTATTGCTCTCAGATTAGAACAGATCGAGGCACCAGGAATGTCCAGAGCAAAAGGAGATGTTTCATGCATATAGTCAGCCAAATGGACCTGACTATGATAGAAGCAGGTACAGATCAGAGAGTCAGAGGAAGAGACAGATTGGGGGGGGGAGGAAAATAGAGACAGGAGGAGACAAGAGAGAGGTTTAGAGAGAGAAGCTGCAGGAGGGATGCTTATGAATGAGAGAGTTTAGGGTAGGGGAGGTGGGAAGACAGAGTGTAAAAATTGCAACAGGAACCTGTGATACTGAAGGTTCCCGAAGGCCTTATTAGAGTAACATGCACCACAGGTAGCCATTTTCCCTCCTGCCACTGATAAGCGAACTGACAACTTTGGGAAGACTGGAACAAGTCCACAAGGTTCTGAGGAAAGTTTCCTTTTGTCTACCATCCAAAATCCTACAAAATTCCATGTTTAGCCCATTTCAGGATATCTGGGCCTGCCCTTAGAGTTTGGGGAACTGGAGGTTCCTTTGAACAGTACAGGCATCAGTGAATTTTAGTGAATTTACAAAGCCACACCAGCCTTCTGAGGCTTCTGATCAAACTTAAGTAGAAATAACCCCTCAAACTGCCATCCTGACCTTAACATCCATAGAGTTAAAGTGTGGCTGTTTACATGCCTTTCCTTTTTCTTTAATTTTATGACTTACAGTCCGACAACACACCTTATCTGTACAAAGTCCCCCAAGGACTGGTGGTGCCTAATGAGCGCTTCTGTGTGTGTGTGTGTGTGCTTATTGACTAATTCTAATAATACTTGGGTTTTGGATATATGCTACTGGAAGACAATAGGAATCTTCAGTCTAATCAATCTGTGTAGTCTGTAATCCACAATAATGACTATCTTGGAAAGACAGGCCACTGGTGCAACAATATCTAAATAAAATTGACTTCATAAGAGAACAAGGTGATTTTCCACACACACACACACACACACACACCACACACACACACGATAAGCATAAAAGAATTTGCCACAGGTTATTTTCTACACACACACACACATATACACAAACACACAAATGATAAGCATAAAAGAATTTGCCACAATTGAAATCAAGCAGGTAGGAAAGTGTTTTTCTTCAGGATTGTCTGCTCACCCTGGCTTTCCCAGCTTTCTGTTACAAACTCAGGTTTGGACAGGATACACTTTAATTTTCCCATTTGTCTCCTTTATTGCTATGTTGTCTAGTTTAGAGAGATTGTATTGAAGTAACTGCATAGAGTGTTTTCCATATTTTGTTCACCATGAATATAATAGTTACAACATCACACTTTAAAATTTTACTACCTCAATTCAATGTATTTGTATACAAAAATCAAGAACAGACCACTTTTTATAGTAACCATAGCTCTCAACTCAATAGCTTCTGATGGTCTCAGAAAAACAATGACTTCCATATTACTGAATCTTGCAGAACAGATAAGTGTAAAACCTGACCCACCAGTGGACTCTTCTTTGGAAATACAATAGTGCTGGTGTAATGGATGGCAAATGGAATTTGAGTGGGAAATTGAATTGCATAATAGAGGTATACCTCTATAGATGGGTGACCGTCTATCATATGTGAACGCCTGTGTTGATTTTTAACACTGCTCACACACTTCACACACAAACGTACAGGCACACAAAAAAATTCCCAACACACAATCAAATGTTATTTTTAAGTTTGCAGATGAAACTTATTTATAAAATATATTTTCTTATGCTTGAAAAATGAATAAGCAAGTAAGATAAGAGAGCCACTGTGCACTTAACATATCACACACACATGCACGTGCACAGACACACACACGAGTATTAAGAGATTAGTAATGGAGTACATGTCATTCTTGTTGTTTTTACACTTCGACATATGCATATAACTATGCTCACATAAATTAAAAAGTAAATATCATTTAAAAGATGGAAGGAACATATAATTGGTACCTATGGAAGCTATGACAAGTGATATAAACTTGTAATTACAATGAGAAATATCTGCAAGGGTCTTTTATTGCTACACTTCTGTCAGTTTGAGTCACCATGCAAAACCTTGTTAAGCATAGTGTACTTTAGCTAATATGGATCAGTCCTGCTTGATAGTAACTGGAACTGGTTTATATAGGCAAAGGCAAATTTGTATGCATGAAAATATTTTTTCTGGTAGTACTACATAAATGTTCAGTCTCCTTCTTCGATGTCATCCTGTTCTCAGTTTTCAACTTTATCTTTAAATTTCCTCCTGTTTCCCTTCCCTTGCCCTTTCACTCCCTCAGTCAGTTGCACGCAATAAAATATTGGTCTTTTGTGTACATACAGTATTCCTGCTTGTGGGATGTCCTCCGTGAGAATCTCAAGTGTGATTCTCTTTCCACTGTCCTTCTGCTTATGTTCATCAGTGGATGTGGTCAAATTCAATGAAAACAATTCCGCATACTTTAAGTAAAAGAATAGAAGCAAGGCTGAAGCACACCCGGCCTTGCAAGGATTCTGGAGCTAGGTACATACTCCTTCAAAGCTGGGCTAAACCACAATGTCCTTGCTGGGATTGGGATTCTCAAATTGAACAGATCTCAGGTCAACCATCCATCAAAGAGAGGGAACTTAGAATCTTAGCACTGTGCTTGTAGGGACTGAGGGAAATGTGTAGGATTGGGTCCATCCTGGGTGAAATAAATGACAGATAATTAACAATTAGGTTCCCTGAAGCTAGCATTAATCCTCTTGGTTCAGGGGCTCAAGTGCTGGGATTAAATGACTGTCATCATACCCAGATAAGCAACAGTATCTCTTGATACAATCATATCTGGGGAATGTGAATGAAGCTCTATAAGCTCCTTGAAATTATACAATAACATTGTTTATTCTGTTTACAACATTCTGGCACCATATCCCATTACAGATGGTTGTGAGCTCTCTTGTGGTTACTGTCAATTGAACTCAGGACCTCTGTCTGGCAGAGCAGTCAATGCTCTTAACCTTTGAGCCATCTCTCCATTCCTACACAAAAACATTGAACAATACCAAACTAAAATAAGCTAATCACAAAACATGTCATGATCTAAATGAATTCAAACAGCACAGAATGAAATGTGGACACCCAAGAGCAAGGAGACCCAAGGAATAGGGCAACACTATCTGATCTTAATCTGAAGTGGGTGGTTAGCAGCCTTTGGAAATGACTTTGGTGGGCTTGATGTGCTAACACTGATAATGTGTTATGCATGGGTGCTCATGAGAGGTTTTGTTTAGCCTTTTTCTTGCAATACCTTTATCTGGTATTGGTATTTGGGTAACGATGCCTTCCAGAAACTAGAAGCAGAAAGTATATTTGCTACCTCCTTTGAGAAGGCCAGACTTGCCCACCAAGATACTGAGCTGTTTTGTAAACTGGATTTCAAGCAATGACCTCTTGGTCCAGTGTCTCCCACTGTAACCGATGCACTGCTCGGCTGCTGAGTAAATAGTGAATCTTGAAGATTCCCAGTAGGGAGTAGAGGGTAAGGAAGGAGAGGAAGAAAACCAAGGAAATAAACAGTAATTCCAGGTGACAGCATGCTTCCTGATTTTCTGTACTCTTCACAAAACAGAGCAAATGTACTTTTCCTCCCAGATTTGTGCCATTAAACCTTTTTCTGGAGGCACATGCAGGGTGGGGGTAGGGAACAAGACTCACCTAGAACCAATTCAATCCATGATTTGGGAGGGCTTTCTCTAAGCAAACAGAATATTTCAGACTAAAGGCTTTTGGGATCTGCCTTCTACTTTCTCCCTCCAGACAGTGGAAAGGATGAAGACTAAAAAGGGGGTGAGATACTCAATTTAACCTACCAAGCCTTCAAAGGAGTTTTCCTTTTTCAGGTGGAAAGTTTGCACCCACTTCTACTTTACTCTGATGTTCTCAGAGGGGTCAACTGTAGCGATTCCAGCCTCTGCATGGAAGGTAGAAGTGAAACACACACACACACACACACACACACACACACACCAGTGTTTCCTTTTCATCTCCTGCCTCACCTACCTTTGGCTTCTTTCTTTCAGAGATGCTCAAAGACCAGCTTCTCTGGAAGGCTCCCAAGAATGACAAAGCTTAGAGGCAGCTTAGTTGCATACTGAATCCCATTTTCATCAGACTGGCTTCTGAGCCATGGCAAGAGCTGACTATTCCTCTGTTGCTGTAGTGGAGAGAAGGACTGGACTTGGGAGCCCAGTGGGGTTGACTGTATTGCACTGGCATCTGACAAGGTGGTGCCTACCCACAGAGGGCAGCAGAGCACCCTCTGATCTCTCTCTCTCTCTCTCTCTCTCTCTCTCTCTCTCTCTCTCTCTCTCTCTCACACACACACACACACACACATTCTTACCACCTGGAACAGAGGAACTGCCACATTCTTTTCTTGGGTACATGAGGCTTGTCAAGCTTCTCATTTAATCCTTGCAAAACTCCAACAAGTCCCAGCTATTGAGGTAGGTGAAGCAGGAGGATGGCATGTTCAAGGCCTTTAATCCCCACACCCAGGAGACAGAGACAGGC